GACCTTCCCCCTGCGCCACCTCCTCGACTGAATGGTGACGCGATGTTGGCTGCCATCGTGCGCGGCGAGGGCAAGGCGGCCTTCCTGGACGACCTGGTCACCCAGCTCCGCGACAGCGAACCTCGCCTCCGCGACCTGGCCCTGCGCCCTGTGCCCGACGATTACTGGGAGGCCTTCGAGCAGCTGCTCTGCACGGTTAGCCATCGCCACTTGGCTAAACCAGCCGCCGCACCACGCCTTCACGACTGCCAGGAACGCCGTCGCCTTCTCGAAGCTCGTGCCGCACTACGACGGGACCGTGCCAATATACCACCCTCCGACTTCAAGGAAAATGCCCTGGCCGCCATCGAGCAACAGCTGAAGGAGCTCACGAGGCAACTAGCCAAACAACGCCGACGTGCCCTACTGGCTGCGAAGGAGGACCTGCTCGACCAGATTCGCCAGGCTTGGAGGGACAGGCGGATGCACGAGGCGGCTCGCCTCTCGCGGCAGGCCGCTCGCTGCCGATTTGGCGCACGCCATCGCGACGGACGACGGTTGGGCTCCACCACACTCAGTAAGTCAGATTGGCTGGAAGTTTGGCGCAAGGACGGACCGCTGGGCGGAATGCGAGTGGAGGAGCTTGACTGGATGGCGTGGCGCCAACGGCGAGACCATCTTCCTCACACTAGCCTGTCCGCTGCTGAGGCTAGTGAACGTACCTACCGTGCTGCGGAAGACTACGCGGCGCTGGCCCCATACTTTCGCAAGACGTCCAAGCGTCGGGCCGTCCCCATGAACACTGCTCCTGCGGAGATCTGGGACCTGTGCCTGTCGGCGGACAAGGAGACGCTTCCTGCGCGGCAGGGATTGGGCTTCGCTCCTCCTCCTGTGTGCATGGACATCTTCAAGGAACTGATGCTGCTAGGACTCACTTTGATCAGGCGCGCTAACCTGGCCCCCTTTTACTGGTCGCGCAGTGTGGGTCATGAGCTTTGCAAGGGCAGCTCTAAGCCTGGGGCGCTGGGCAAGCGTGTGATTCACTCGTTGCCCGCCGTCGGCAAAGGCTTCTTCGCGCGCCGCCTCAAGATGCAAGTCCCGCTCCAGGCTTACGGCTTTGCTCGACACCAGCGCCGTGAAGGCGCAATTTTGGTGGCGCAGCGTCTGTCCTGGCGCCTGCGCAAGTCTGGGGTCAGCTTCGCCAGCGCGATGAAGGACCTCACCACATGCGTATGACAGCGTGGCTTGGCATTCTTTCGACGAGGTGGTGGAGAACTGCGCCGAGCACGCCGACTGGGTCCTCTGCAAGGCCAGGTACGCGGACGGGGTCATCGAGATGAAGGCAGACGAGGGGACTTTTTACATGAAGCCGATGGTTGGCGGGATGATGGGCGACCCCTACGTTGTCTCTGCCTTCCTCGGCGCCTTTGTCCGACCGATGCGTTTCTGGGCTGCTGGCATGGTGGCCAACCAACCTGGGGCTTCTCTTTTGCGCGTGGCTCTGCCTGATGACGACGTGGTCGACCTGTCCCACTGTGCCTATGCCGACGATCTACACCGCACAATACCGTTCATGGTGGGCTCCACGATGCAGGATGTCACCGCGTCCCTGGCCAAGGCGGATGACATTCTCGATGCTGCGCTGAAGTTGGATGGACTACAACAGAACCGTGAGAAGCAAGTCACAAGCTTTCACTTGTGCGGAAAGGGAGCAGCGGCTTGCAAACAATGGATGAGCAGACAGGGAGCTGTTGAAGGCAAAGTACAAGACGTCGCCAGATACCTGGGCCCTGTGGTTTCTCCTACTCAGACGACCTCGCACGAGCTGGCTCGCAGGTTTTCTGCGACGCATGCGGGCTTTTACAACCTTGGAGGAGTGTGGTCTTTGAAGATTCCGCGAAGGTGGAAGCGTGCCCTGTTCCTCTCACTCGTGCAGAACACGCTGCTGTCCGCCATGGAGTGTTTCTGCTTGAGCGACCATCGGTACTGCGTGATGGACGCCCATCTTGCCAAGCTTGGCAGGATTGCGATGTGTGGAGGTGCGTCTTGGATGGGGCCCACTCATCCAAAGAAGCCTGACCAACAAGCGCGTCTTGGACTTCTGGAGGGTGGCCCCTTGCAAAGTGGAACTTCGGGCTGGGCGGCTCTCTTGGTATCAGTCTTGGGCGCGATTTCCTGAAGCCAACAAACCGATTTGGGCGGTTCCTTTCTCCCTCCTCGATTTTGAGCCCGAGAATTTCGACCCCTGCGAGCCCGAGTACGGCCTTTCCAACTATGCGTCGCCCTGGGCCCTCCAGATGCGTTCAGATATCCGCGCTGCCGCCGCCGCCTGCTTGGACCATCCGGACCTCCCACTGGACCTCGCGGAGCCCCCCTGGCACTTGTATACGTCTGAGGATAAACGTAGGGAGTTCTCGAGATTGACATCGGGGAGTATCGGGCCTCGGTCTTCACGGTCTGCGTGGCTCCACCGGGCCTGGAGGAGGTGGGGGAGGAGTTCGAGTTCAGGGACCTTGTGGTGGAGGTGGGAGACGAGGAGGAGACGTACACGTGCACGCACATGCAGGATGGGATCTCTTGTGGGGCTACATTCCGCACTCCTGGGGGTCTCACTGCACACCTTCGGCACCGTCACCGTATTTAGACATGTTGCGCACAATCTCACGCCATCTAACTCGTGCATCGTTTGCCAGAGGACGTTCGCGACCCAGATTACAGCTAGCCGACGCCTCCAGAGTGCCATCCAACGAGGCCGGTGCGATCCGAGAGGGGCCTCGTCTATCACTGCCTTCCTGGAGCCTCCGATCTGTAAGTGTCAGCTGTGCGAGTTTGAGGGTGCGAGCTACGACGACTTCCGTAAACATCTACTCGAGCATCTTCCCGTCCATGTCTCAGTACCGACACCTCATGCTAAGGACTATTCTTCTCGCGGCGCTGATGGCCGCGGCCGCAGCCAGTTCATCCGCCTCTCTGGGGATGCCCGACTGGAGGATGGCGCCCGCCAAGAGGGTCGCAGACCCAGGATCGGGGGCGAAGGAGAAGAAGGGCCGCAAGGACTCGACGCAGCCGATAGCAGATTCGATGGCGAACTGCTCAGAGAAGCTGGTGCTCAACTTGGAGAGGAGGGTGGCGATGCTGGAGTCAGTGGTCTATCGCGCCTTTTTCGTGCACGAGGGCGCGGACTCCCTCGGCGCGGAGTGCATGCAGGCCAACAAGCAGTACAACGACGACTCCAAGTCCCTCAAAGAGAGACAGCACTCAGGAGAACGCATCGACTGAAAGGCTCGCGGCGCCCCACAGGTCGCACTCTTCGTGGTTATCATCAAGCGAGCCATCGGTCTGCTAGCGCCCGAGGGACGGGCACCCGACGCACAGGGCCACACTGCCATGATGAAATGTTGGACGAAGGTCGTTCGTATGCAGACTCCTGCACAACTGGGCTTGTTCGTTCTGCCGTGCCGCTACAAAAAGGCTCGACTGGTCAAGGAGGGTCAGGACGAACCAATGGAGAAGAGAGGAGTCCTAACGGTGGCGCTCAACATCCTGATGGAGTATCTGGTCAAAGCAGTGCAGTGCGATCCCATTCCTGGTGCGGCCCCACGCGGTCCGACAGAGAGATGGCTGGGAGCTCAGATCAAGTGAACCCGACTGCTGTGATTGAGGGCTTCGCGAATGTATCTAGCCAGTCTCACGACAATGTGATCGCTCGCCGCCTGCCGCCAGCCTTTTCCGCTACCCCGCTGGCGACTTCGGCTCGACTCAGGGATTTGATTTCCAGGGGCTTCGTTTCTCGGGATGTCCTGGACCGCACTTTCGCCGCGCCTTCCTACGCGGATCCCAGGCTCCCGAAAGCGCCAGTCATGGTGGTGCCAAAGGCGGCTCCCACCAACACTAAGGGAAAGGGAGGTGGTCGTGGGACTGGTCGTCGTGGGAGTCGTGGGCGGAGGGAGAGGGTGGGATTCTCGAATCTGAGGCGGCCTCGGCCGTCCCCTCTGGACAAATCCTTTCCCCCCCCCTCCCCCCCGCCGACGACTGGGGGTGAGGTCTCCTCTCGCCCCATCGTGTTTGTCCGTGAGGGTACGAGCTGAAGCCTGGTCCTCTAGGCTGGGCATCTCCCAGGCCGCGCGCCCAGATGGGAGGCCGCTCGGTAGAGGCGGCGCGGGCTGGCACCCGACTGGCCACCCGCCCCCGCAGGGAGTTTCGAGCTGCCAACGCAGCGCGCAGGGCTTAGCGCTTCCTCGAGTTCGTGGATTCAGGAGCCCCATTGCGTTATTCTATTATATTCCATTCTCCTCCTCCTGCTCCTCCTCCTCCTCCTCCTCCTCCTCCGCCCGCCCCGAGAGAGGATGCAGAAGTCTGGCGCCTTCGCCCAGGGCTTGCACCAGCGGGTCACGCCGCGCGCCGGCATCCTGCCAGCGCCGGCCGACAGCGGGGCGCTTGTGAGCGTCAGGCAGCGAGAGAGAGAGAGAGAGAAAGAGAGACAGAGACGGAGAGAGAGAGGGAGGGAGATGGGACACAAAAAAGAAGGCGAACCTAGGACGATAACATCGGGTACGGATAGCTCGAGAACCTCTGAGATCCGGCGGATCTGGGGGATGAATCGGGCGCTGCGGCCATTTCAGAGCGTTCCAGAACGCTCTGAGAGCGTCCAGGAACGTTCTGGAACGGATTTATCTTCGTCCTAGCCCCGTCGGAAAGTGAGTGAGAAGGACACACACACATATATATATATATATACATATACATATATACACATATATAGAGAGAGGGGATACGAGAGGGTGGGCAGGGATGAAGAAGACCGCGAGGGAGGGAATAATGGGGAAGGCGGCCGACAGGGGGAGTGGGAGGAGGGAGGGGGAGAAGCACGAGGAGGCGGACGAGGAGAAGAAACGGAGGGTCGGATCCTTGGTGCGGGGGGGGAGGACTGGACCGCATCCGGGCGCAGGGAACTTCACAGATCTGCAGCTCCTTCGGGGAACCCCCTGCTTCCAGTCCTGGGAGGGGGCTTGCCCCCCCCCTGCGCTGCAAAGGACCCCCCCCCATCGCCTAAGCCTGCTGGAGAGACGCGCTGGCCTGCCGTCCTCTTCTCCAACTTTTTCCCGGGGGCGGCGTCGCGACCCCCCTGGAGAGGTCCCCGAGGGCCTGCTTGACAGGAGGGGCTGGCCCGCTCTATGTTCCTCCTCCTGCTCCTCCTCCTCCTCCTCCTTCTCCTCCTCCCCCTTCCCCTCCCCCTCCCCCTCCTCTTCCCCCTCCTCCTCCTCCTCCTTCTCCTCCTCCTCCTCCTCCTCCACCTCCTCCTTCTTTTCCCTCCTCCTCCTCCTCCTCCTCCTCCTCCTCCTCCTCCTCCTCTCCCACCCCCGGGTCTGGACAGTGGTGGGGCCCGATCTGTCAGAGAGTCCAACATAGGCCAAGGTGGCTCTAATAGGAGGCGCGCCCGGGGGGAAACGAGACGAGGCGGGCCTTCTCAAGAGGCTTGGACGTCCCCGGGCCGTCTGAGAAGTTTTCCGAGCCTTCCCCGGAGATGCAGACAACCTTTCAGAAGGCGCGAGGGCTTCTGAGAAGTCCTGCCTCCTTTCGAGAAGGCCTTCTCCTTCTCACTCACTTGCCCCTCGCGCTCGCCGCCGACTAGGGGAAGTCCCTGCCCCTGGGTCTGGACAGGGGTGGGGCCCGAGTTGTCAGAAGGTCCAAGATAGGCCAAGATGGCTCCAAGATGGCCCCCAGGTGGCCTCCGAGATCACACAAGATGGCTCAAGATGGCTCCAAAGAGCCGCCTACATGACTCTCAGAGGGCGCAATCCCGCCCCAAGAGGGCTCCTGGTGGCCCTGAGGACGCCCCCGACAGGATACAACGATTCAAAAACCAAAGGAGCAACAGTGAGTGAACTTTCTATAACTGGTCTGCCTTCGCTGATCTTTGAGGCATCAGGATGGCGCCAAGATCGCCAAAGAGAGCCCCTGGAGGGACCCATAAAGGCTTCCAAACGGCCCCAAGGAAGCTCCGCGGGGTGGTTGTGGGGCATCCGGCACGGGGACCGCAATAGATGCTGCCTTCTCATTCGGCAGATGTCCTGCAAGATAGTGCCAAGAGCGCCCCAAAGGCCCCCGAGAGGCCTCAAACACCACAAAGCGAAACGGGGGAACACAGGCTCCGGAAAATACCACCCCACCTGCCCAAGGCACGCCCCTCGGCCAGGCGAGAACTGGCGTCCCCTGCCTCACCGAGTGGGGATCCTCGGCAGCGCACCGACTACGCGCGCGGTGCCGGTGGGAGCACCGGCTGCACGGCAGCAGCGCCTGTGGACACAGCACTGGCCCGATGGCCCATGTACGGGAATAGGTGGGGCCCTGACGATGGGACCTTACAGTCGGGGCGTTGACCTAAGGAACCCTGAATAAGGAACGAGGCCCCTTTTTGCCATAAGTTGAACTTCGATTTCCCATCGAAAGCACAAGGAAAGCCTGAGGCAAGCTGCGAAGCACTTGAGGAACGCGGAGCCCCTCCCCAACCAAAAGGGTTCCTTCTCCAGGGCCCCGACGGTACCACCCCACCTGCCCAAGGCACGCCCCTCGGCCAGGCGAGAACTGGCGTCCCCTGCCTCACCGAGTGGGGCTCCTCGGCGGCGCACCGAGTACTCGCGCGGTGCCAGTGGGAGCACCAGCTGCACGGCAGCAGCGCCTGTGGACTCAGGCACTGGCCCGATGGCCCATGTACGGGAATAGGTGGGGCCCTACCGATGGGACCTTCGCCTCATCGGGAGCGGCCAAGAGGGGGGTGTCCAAGAGGGAGGGGTGCAAATCATGACTGGCGGCATGTGTGCGGCCCAGCGGAGGGGCCAGGGACGCAATGAAATAAGAGGAGGCGCCATGAAATCTGAGGAAAAATCATGGCCCGCGCCATGAAATCCCCCCCTCCCCCCTAGTCATCACCCCCCTCTTCTCCGCCCCCGACCTCAGTGGGACGAAATGGTCAGAACGTACTCTTGCCAGGGGGACCTGAAGCTGTGAAACACTTCAGGAACGCGGAGCCCCTTCCCAACGAAAAGGGTTCCTTCTTCAGCGCCCCGACTGTAGCCTCAGTGGGACAAAACGGTCAGAACGTACTCCTGCCAGGGGGACCTGAAGCACCTGGTCGTTCCTCGCCTGGGTCGCCGGCTGCGGCCCGGCGGGCCTCGACAGCGACGACGACGAGCCAGGACTCTTTGTGGAATCGCCTCTGTGGCATCGGCTCGTGCCCGCGCGGGCGCCGCGACCCCCCCCCCATAGTCAAACAAGAACAATAATCCACAAAAGGACCCCAAAATGATCAAACATAGTAGATGCATCGTCCCCATACTATTCAAACGACTATTTGCGGAATCGCCTCTGTGGCATCGGCTCGATCCCGCGCGGGCGCCGCGCCCCCCCCCTCCCGGGCATTTCTTCATTGTTCGTAGCACTACGGTTAAGTAGCTCGGGCATGTCCCCTACAGGCGGATGCGGATTTTGGACGAAGATAACAAATAGTCAAACAAGAATAAGAATCCCAAAAAGGACCCCAACATGATCAGACATAGGGGATGCATCGTCCCCATACTATTCCGACCACTTTTGATGATTCCGCCTGCAGAGGGACAAGCACGACTCAACACCATTCGGGGAGACGTAAGACCCGGGTACGGGGGACTCGGAAATCCCCGACGAGGTCGTCAAAAAAATGACGAGGCCGAGCCTGCATTTTGACGAGGCCTCCCGCTGCAGACATCCAACGAAACTCCTACTCGTCAAAATCCGAGTCGCGGTCGTCAAAAAACGATGGCGAACCCGAGTCCTGGCAAACCCGGGTCTTACGCTCCCCCGAACCATGGGCGGGACCCAGCCATGTCCACCGAGAGCACCGGCATGCGGAGCTGTGGTCCCCAACGCCCGCCGCGCGGACCCCGTGGGCGCCCGCCGCTGGAGCGAGGCAGGCCGGGCGAGCCCATCGGCCTCAGCACACAAAGGAAGGACATCATGAAGCAGCTGCTCCTGTCTGCTCCTGCTCCTCCTCCTCCTCCTCCTCCTCCTCCTCCTCCTCCTCCTCCCCCTCCTCCTCCTCCTCCCCCTCCTCTCCCCCTCCTCCTCCTCCTCCTCCTCCTCCTCCTCCCTCCTCCTCCTCCTCCTCCTCCTCCTCCTCCTCCTCCCCCTCAGCGTGCTTACCCCGTGAGTCTCCGCCGACAGCGCTCGCCCTCGGCACGCCGCCTGCGCCGTGCTTCTCAAGCAGTGGCGAAGCGTCCTGGCTCGCCCTCAGTGGGCCCTGGAAACGACAAGGCCGTTTTTTACCGGTTCCGTTTTGCCTTTTTTTGCCGGTTCCGACGCCGTTTTTTTACTGGTTCCGTCGCCGTTTTTTGACCGGTTCCGGCTCTGGTTCCAATCCTGGAGCCGTTTTTTTGCCGTTTCCAGTCGCCGTTTTTTTGCCGTTTCCTTTTTCAAGGGACATTTTTCGGAAACGGTGAAAAAACAGCCCTGCCGTTTCCAGGGCCCACAAAGGGCTCGCCTATGGCCCTACCAAACAATGTTCTCAGAACCTCTTGTGGTTCCCACGAACCGTTCTCAGGACATGTCTGGCGGAGTCTGTCTGTTTTGACACATCGGTTTTATGTTCTAAAGACATTGGTTTTGGTTCTTGGAACATCTGTGGGTTCTACGAGAATTTCGTGGTAAGACTGTAGGAATGCCGGGACGGTCGGTCCCTGCTCAAGATGCTCGAACAGCCGAATCCCATCTGCAACTCGGGAAGGAGGTCAGAGATCATGTCTTCTGTCTGCCAACACTTATGTTGCTCCCATCGCACTTAAGGACCACATCCCAGAAGTAATTTCGAGCACCCAAGAAACTGTCGAAGCAGTGTCGAAAGAGTGTCGCCTCCCATGGCCCAACACGTGAAGCCCTTCAACTTTCTGTACTTTCTTGGTGTTCGACATTCTTTCTGGTGGTCAAGACGAAAGTCGGTTGGAACAGCATGAGCCAACACCCCTTACTTCCTTCATCGGGGATGAGCGCATCACTGCTCCATGTTAATCCGCCACCGTGCCCTCGAGGCACGAGCTGGAGTGCCCCCAGGTCCCTTGCTAAATCCCCTGGAGCCCCCACTCCTCAATCCTGAGGATTCTTGAAGGGGCCTGGACACCGAATTCAAAACTCTTTTGGGGCTCCTCGCGCCGCGGCTTTGTCCGGAGTCGGAAGTCACGCAACGAACCATGGGGCACCGACATGTTCCAGCGCTTGAGCGCTGTTGTTTTAAATACGCACTCCGAGAAACTCAAGAGAGGAGCTCTTTCTTGGGATGATCCGCGCGAGCTGGGGGTAGACAGCAAAGTCTGAGATCCTTCGTCCAAGGCCGGGACGTCTAGCCTTCCAGCCTGAAGCTATCAGGTTTGAGCATCCGCCCTGGAGCTAAGGCTCGGGGTCCAGCCAGAAGTTCAAACTGCCTCTTGCAGATGCTCTCAGTGGAAGCCCAGGAGAGCCCAGAATCGAATCGAGAAATCGAACTGGCGATTGAAATGAATCGTATCGGCGGAACTCGACAACCGAGTCGGGAGAAGTGGAATTGGCAGGAATCGGAAGGCTAGTCGGCCTCCATTGAAACATCGGAATCCAAATCGGAATCCGAAGCCGGATCGAATCGGAATCGGAAGCCATCGAATCGAATCGAATCGGAGGAGTCGAAGTGAGCCCTGGAAGCCCAGCCTTCTCGATCCCAATGGGAGACCACCGCTGCCGGCCGCCGAGCTGTCCTGGCGTCGCGCTTCCAATCGGAGTACAGCGCGCCGCGCATGTCGGACTTGATCTGCTGAGACATCAGCTTCAGCCACTCCTTGAGCCGAGGCCAAGAGGAGGATCACATTGGACGAGGATGCATCGAGACTCTCTGAGATCTGGCGATTCCGGAAGATGTCTCGAGTGCCACGGCCTTCTCAGAGCGTTCCGGGACGCTCTGAGAGCTCTGGAGCGGATTTATCTGTGTCCCAACCCCGCCCGAACTCTTAAAGTCGGGCGTGTCCCCCTCCAGGGTGATCTTCGACGAAACATCAAACATGCTCAGAACATACCACACAATTATTAAAAAGATGCTCCTGAAGTGGTCCCCAGACTTTTTTGTTGTTGACGATTTTGGAATATTCCTCCTGTAGAGGGACGGGCCCGACTTAAACATCTATTTTTTGTTGTTGACTATTTTCGATTTTCGACGAAAAATAAGAAATGCGCAGAACATACGCCAAAATTGACAAAACAATACTCCAAAAATAGCCCCCCTGTCTTTTTTTCAAACAAAAAACAAACAACATTTTTTAATATTCCTCCTGCAAAGGGACGGGCCCGACTTAAACCGAACTCCTGCCGGGAAGGCCTGGGGGAGAGCGGCGCGCCCGTGTGGCGGAGGGCGGGCCCCGGAGCGAGCCAGGCGGGCCCACGAGCCGACGACCGTCTACGCGGCGTGAAAGCGACCACGCCGACGACGACGACGACGACGAAGACGACGACGACGACGACGCGGCGGCTCACACGGGGCCCCCTCGGGGCCCTCTCGGGGGGGGGGAGGCCCCCTGAATTCCCCTCGTCCCCCTCTTCCTAAGGCAGGCCAAACTTTAGGCAACCGTGCTGTCCCCCGCCCTCCCTTTCTCACTTCCTCCATCCCTGCCTCCCGCAGAAGCAAAGCAGTGGTTGTGGTCATTTTCGTTGAGCTTGGCACCAGGGAACTGGCCACAACCGCTGCTTCTTGTTCGGCCGGCTGGAAGGCGGAGCAGACAAGAGGCAGGGGCTGTGGCCATTTTCCCGTTCTGCACCGTCAGGGCTCGGGGGCGCGCAGACATGGACTAGCGTTAGGTCGGGCCTGCCCCCCTACAGGGGGATTGTGGACGAAAAATTAAAAATACCTCCAAAAGTACTCCCCAAATGCTCAAACATAGTCAACAAAAATAGTCCCCAGTTCCCAGACTATGTTTTTTCCTATTGTAGAGGGACAGGCCCGACTTCAGATTAGCGATCCATGGACTTGGTGCGCGGTCGCCCAAAATCCATGGATCGGGGGAGGTGCCCTCCCCAGAATGTGGCTGGTGCCGCCTCGCTCGGCGGCGGAACTCCGCGATTTCCCATGGAAAAGCGGGACCCGTCGCGAAGCCACGCGCCCTGTTGATCCCTGCTCGCGATCGCCGGAAGAGCGGCGGACGATCCTGCCCTCACGAGCGGCGAACGGATCCCCGCCCGCGCCCACGCGGTCGATGACGCTCAGAACTCGCGCTAGCTGGCTTTAAGTTGCTGATGCCTACTTCTGGCTCTGCCCCATTGTATCACACGGAGGACGTTTCTCGGGGCGTCGCTATGACGAAGAGGGGTGCCCATGATAGGGCTGACGCTCCTTTCGAGGTACTTGGTAACGTTGAAGCAGGCCGCGCGTAGGATGCCTTGCTTTTGCTGCTGGCTGAAAGGCTGAGTGACATCGGCGAGCGGGATCTCTGCATGGCGAACTGCTTGATCACTCTGAATCCAAGATCGTGCCTCCGCCTGCGGTCCTATGGGCATCTGAGCTGGAAGCCTGCGAAGCTTGGACAGATGTGGCACCCAAATGCATTCAACCTCTGGAAGTCGTAGGCAGACTGGCCTGCGAGGAGACCGCGGATACATCGCCGTGATAAAAAGTTTCTTTCAATCTGTCTTTTGGAATGACGCGCTCGTGCGGAGTAGTTCGAAGTAGTTTTACTAAAACTACTCCGCGCGCCATCGCATCCCGCTCGATAAGTGATATGGTTTGGCGCGGAGTAGTTTCCGATCCCGTTTTGGGGTAACAGAGTTACTAACGTCTCCGGGATCGGAAACTGCTCCGCCGAATGACCCAGCATCATGTCACGTTAGGAATCTTGAGAGGGATGGGAGAGATCTTCATCATAACAAACTGAAGGAACTTTTGTCACGGCTGTGTACTTGCCCAATGCTCTGACGTCTCGGATGTGCTCCCCGATGGACCCACTGCACAAGTCATAACCCCAAACTGATTAGGTACGTTTGGCTCGGTAGGCTGGAGCCAGGGGGCCACCATGTTTTCATGGAAGCACGGTGGAGGGAATCCACGCCTTCGGCTCTCGATGGGGCCAGCTGGAGATCCCCCACAACAGTCATCGGAGATTGTTTCTACACCGTGTGGGACCGCAGTGTCTGCTAACAGGCCACCAGAGGCCTCGCAAAACGCACCCTTGAGCCCTATGTTGGGCAAGGTGAGCATGTCGAGCAGCACGCCAGCGAGCGTGCTGCGGTCGACCATCTGAAGGGTCGACATGTTGGAAGCTACCGTGCCTGGGCCGTTTTTGACGAGGACGGCTGCTCTGCAGACCAGCTCGTCGTTGTCGTTGGGATCTGCCTGGGAAGTGTGCGCCAGCCATCTCGCGCGCTGGCACCACTGCACCTGGTGCGCAATAGTATCGTCACCACGTAGCCTGTGCCCTTGTACACAAATAAGATTGGCGTTCTTCGCAGGCTCAGAAATCTTGAACTTCTTGAATGCACTCCCGTTGAAGGTCATGGAGGGCATCTGTTGGCTGAAGACTTAATGGTGATGAACCTCCTGCCTCCATAGCTGCAGCTGCACCACATCATTCTTTGGTCTGCGTTACGCTGTCGGCGCTCCTGGGCTCCATGAGCTTGGACACATATTCGAGCTCGGCCGCCGCACGACTCAAACCGCTGAAGGTGTGAGGCATGTCGCCGTCTTCGTCGTCGTCGTCGTGGCCCACCTCAGCGTCAGATACTGCGATGGCTTCACCTCCTTCGCCCATAGCTGCAGCCGCTGCAGCTGCTGCCTGAAATGCTGGAGCGGCGGGGAATGGAACGGGTACTGCATGCGCTGCTGGCGCTGCTGGTTGCGCAAGCGATGGAGCCTGCTCGTGCTCCTCCTGGAGCCTGTCTGGCCGACCTCTTGGATCTTTTCTGACAGGGTGTCTGGGATGACTCCGCCTCGCGGGACCGCGGCTTGGACCACCGCGCGCAGTACAGCCGAGTTTGAGTAGTAGGTCGACCCCGCCCAAACAAGGGTACCCTTATTTCCTGCGTTTTGCGACCCATGCCCTCTACAATAGCAACTTGGCCATCGGAAGAGTGCCCTCTCGCGTGTCCTCTCCAATCCACCCCGACTGTATCTGGGAAGTGTCTGCGGACTCTGCTAGAAAGGGGGAGGGATGAGGGGAAACGGAGGGAGAGAGGGGAAAGGACGGACGGGGGAGGAGCGGACGGGGAGGATGAGAGGGGGGAGACCAAAAGGTACCAATACCGCTACTCCCCGGACCTCTCCTGGGGTGCGTTCTGACCAGGGCTTCGAAGCGAATCCAACGGTGGCGACGAGGGCCTCCGAGGAGGCCCGAAAAGGGAAAAACGAGGGGGGGTAGAGGTATAGGTACCTTGTCTTCCTCTGAGAGAGGGGCGGGGGGCAGAAAGAGGCCCACGAGCCGCAGTCCTCCTTCTTCCTGTGGTTGAAGGCGGCCCCCGGGTACTTCCGGAGGCTGTCCGGCAGCTCGTGCCGCCTCTCGACGTACTCCTTCCTGGAGAGGGGGAGGCGCGGTGCGGCAGGGGAGATCGGCGGTCGAGGAGCGGGCTGGGCGAAAGGGGGGGACAGCAAAGGGGGGGGGCTGAGAAAATCAGCTCACGTAGCTGATCTTCTTGGGCGTGGCTTAATGGGTGGGTCACAAATGGGGGGACCAGAAAAGGTCCCCTTTCGTGCCCCTTTCGGGCCCCTCCAGAGCCCCAGGGGGCTCGTTCAGGTACCATTTGGGTACCTCTTCGGACCACACTCGCCGCCCCCCCATTCATGATCCCCCATTACGCAGCGCCCAATCTTCCCGGCGCCGCCCGGCGCCCATGTACATCGAGGACTGGGCCGGGCGGCGGGGCCGAAGCCAGCCGCATGCGTCCCTCTCCCCCCCCCCTGTCGTTCGGCCCGAGGGGGAGCGGCCGAGCCGGCCACCGCACGGCGCGGGGCAGGGACTGGGCGAGCGCGTCCCACGACTCGCAAAGTAAGTACAGTCGGGGCGTTGACCTAAGGAACCCTAAACAGGGAACGAGGCCCCTTTTTTTTCCATAAGTTAAACTTCGACTTCCGATCGAAAACATAAGGAAGACCTGAGGCAAGCTGCGAAACACTTAAGGAACGCGGGGCCCCTCCCCAACGAAAAGGGTTCCTTCTTCAGGGCCCCGACTGTACTCGCAGGTGGCCTGGATCCGCCGCGGGGGATCTACGACACAGTCCATCAGAACAGGCATCTTTTTTTGTGTTTTTCCTGGAAGTTTGCGAGTAGGCACTTTGCGAGTAGTGAAACGGCGCTGGGTGGGGGACGCTGACATGCCAGAGTGCTCAGAAAACCCTCCAAACCTGTAGACCTACGGTCAGGAACTTTTGCGTGACCCCAGCGACACGCTATGCCGTGCAAGCGGATAGCGTGTCGGCCCGGAAGCTGGGAAAATCTCGGGATGCTGACGCTTGGGAATGGGGACGTGAACAGCGCGTCGAGCCAACGAGTGGTGGGCCAGAACCAGCGGAGCGACACGCTAAGCCAAACTTACTGACCATGGACTCTACAGACCAATCAGGACTGCTCAACACCTCGACCGGGACTCAGAGTCGAAGGTCCTGGTGTTATTGTTTGGCCCTGCTGGAGCGTCGGGGGCGGGGAGGGCGGGGGAGTGGGGCCAGTCCTCCGTCGCGACTGTACGTTCCTGGGGTGTTGCCTCAATCTCGGCCTCCCGAGAAGAACTCTTCGGTTCCCGGGGGCCACAAACGAAACGGCCCTGAGCGGGTCAGCGATCCCAGGGAAAGGGTTGATAGTTCTGGTTCTGGGCAAATGGATTGAACAAGAAAACGTCTGAGTTTCGGGGAAGGAAAACGCGGGGCTAGCTAGGACAGGGATTGGAGGGAGGGAAGGAGGGGAAGAAGGGAGGCAAAAGAGAAGGAAGGAAAGGGGAGAGGGAAGGCAGGTGTGGGAAGAACAAACAACAAACGTATTGGGACCGAGGAGGGAGGAATAGGAAGGGACATTGGACTGGAGGGGGCGGGGAGGACAGATGAGAAAGGAAGGGATGCAAGGAAGGGGCGGGGAGAGGAGGCGGAACAGATCGGAGGAGGGGACTAATGGTACGATGAAAAGCACGAAGAAAGTATGAGAGAGACGACGGCGGCGCGAGGCCAATGAGGAAGAGGACTGGGGAGATGACGATGGCGAGGGCGATGCGGATGATGGGCGTCTCATCGTGCAATAGATGTCCTATTGAAGTGGGCATCCTGACGTTGCCGTGCAGTGAGTGGGGCGCCATGCTGTGCAACGGATGTCCGTGCCGCACTCGGAGCCTCTGACCGCTCCTGCTGAGTGGCGCCGGCGGCCACGCCGCGCGGTCGAACTGACCCCGAGACTCGCGCGGCCGACGGCGTGCTGCCCCTGGCGGATTGCTGGCCCCCGGAGCCCCGCGTGCGGCTCCCGCGCGCCTGCTCGGCGGGCTTCCGCCCGCGCGCGAGCGGCCGCGCTGGCCCTCGCCAGGGAGTGCTGCTCCAGCGCGCGCCCCAGCCCGGCGCCGGCGTGGCCCGCAGCAGCGCTCCCGGTGGCGGCCGCGCGCGCGCGCGGGCAGCACTCAGCAGCGCCCCCCGGGGCGCGCGCGAGTTCCCCGCGCCGCTTCGCGGGCGGTGCCCGCGCGCCCAGCTCGAGCCGTCGCGCGCTCGCGCCCCGCGCCCTGGGCTCGAGCGCCGGCGCCCCTCCAGCGGGGCGGCCGCGCGCGGCGTGGCCATCGGCTTGGGAGGCGCGCGCTACCCCACGGGGCCGCGTGGGAGGCGTGGCTCGGGAGGCGGACTCCTGAGCACGAAGGCCGCCAGGGCGCGTCCCCCTGGCAGGGGCCCGCGAAGCTTGAGCCCGTCGCGCACGGGCCAGGCGCTGAGCTCCAGGACGGCTGCGTTTTCCGCATCCTCGTAGCACGCACTGCCTGAAGGAGGGAGGGGAGGAGGAGGAAGAGGAGGAGGAGGAGGAGGAGGAGGAGGAGGAGGAGGAAAAGGAGGAGGAGGAGGAGGAGGAGGAGGAGGGAAGGAGGAGGAGGAGGAGGAAGAAAGGAGGAGGAAGAGGAGGAGGAGGAGGAGGAGGAGGAGGAGGAGGAGGAGGAGGAGGAGGAAGAGGAGGCGGAGGAGGAGAAGGGAGGAGGAGGAGGCGGAGGAGGAGAAGGGAGGAGGAGGAGGGGGAGGAGGAGGAGGAGGAGGAGGAGGCCCGCCCCTGCCGTGCCACTTCCGTCGCGCCTCCGTCCCGCCGCCCCCCGGCCTTCTTTGATCCGCCCCGTCGCGCCCCTGCCTCGCCGCCTCTCTTACAATCGGACCCGGGGGAACAAAAACGTCTATTGTAATCGGGGGGTCACAAAGGTGGGGTTGGGGCAAAGGTTGGGTTGGGAAGGAAACCGTTCCGAACGGCCCCTTGAAGAAGGAAACGCGGGAACATCCAGCTGGGCCCGCTCCCCAACCCCACTTTGGGAGAACCCTCCCTCTAGAAACCTCCGATTCGAGAAGAAACGCTCCGCCGGCCAAAACACACAAAACATCCAAACTTACCCTCTCCAGGATGCACCCCTGCATTCCGCACACGTGAAGAACATGAACGTACCCTCCCCGAGCCGATTTCGATCTTGTGGCTCGGTCCGACTGTGCGCCGCCCGCGCTGCCCCAAGGCTGGAGCTTTGGAAATGGGCGCCAAAACCACCTAGGAGACCCGAGTGCACCACCACGGAGATAGGGATCATCTCGCCTCGGCGGAGACACAGCTTTGACGTTGGCGTCGGTGCCAACCTCTGGACCCCGACAAGGGTATCCTCGCCTACGTCGAGAGAAGGGCGCTGCTTGCACCTCCCGTGGCCTCTCTCCCTTTCTTTCTTCTTTTTCATTTTTATGTTTTTTTTTTTTTGTTGTTTTTCTCTCTCTCTCTCTCTCACACTCTCTCTCTTTCTTTCTCTCTCTCTCTCTCTCTATATATATATATGTTATGTATACACGTAGCGCCCCGCAGACTCGGATAAGAGCGAGGGGGCACTGGGGGCGCCGGCAATCTGCGAGCATCTGGAGAAGCCCGCCGCAGGCGCCGCATTTTCACAAATTGTGCAACGAGCCCGCGTGCGCCTATTTTTTCGTTGAACAAATGTGGGTAGAGGAGGCGGGTGGGTCGCAAATGGGTCGCAGCTGGGTCGCGGGTGGTCGCCGTTGGATCGCGGGCGGGTCGTTTTCTCGCCCCCCCCCCCCCCCGAAAGGCCTTCAGCTATCTGCGCTAGTGCCCTCTCAGCCTCCCGAAAGGCATCCTGGCACTTGCCACTTGCGCTCGCCCGCGTGGGCGTGAGGCAGGACAAGGAGCGCAACGCTGTCGCGCTGCTGCGTCGGCGCGCGGCGCGTAGCTGGACGCCGATAAGTGCCGCGCAACTACATGCAGATCGCTAGCGGGTTTGCCAGTTCAGCCGGAACGAGAAAGACGGAGAAGCAGGCGGGCTCGGGGCAGCCCCGGCACCGCCGACAGAGCGAGGGCATCAGTAATCGATGCCTCCTCCAATACATGTGGGCAGGAGGAACGACGCACCACGTCGGCGGTTCCGAGGCCTTCGGCCTCTGGAGCTGGAGGCACCAGGCTGGCGCTCGCGAGGGGAAGGGCTCGGTTCTGAGCCGCGTGGGCGCGATGCCCTCGGACTCTGGAGCTATGGGCGCCGTTGCCCATGCCGGTGAGGTACGAGTCGCGCTCTTCGTTGGCGTCGTAGGTCTTACTCTTGCCCGCGCCCTTGATTTTCGACACGGCTTGGTTAGCATTGGCCTCCGTCGGGGCTCGCGCCTTCGCGAAGCGCACCGCGTTGACGGACCAATCGTGCTCGGTGGGCTCGTGCGCGCAGGAAGTGCCCGCCACGCGCGCAGAGACCACGAACTACTTGGCCTTGTCGACCTGCACCTCCTTCATGAACTTCGAGGGCGGCTTGAACTCTGGCTTCTGGACATTCTTCATCAGCTCCTCCGCCTGCCCGGACTAGGAGCTGCTCTTGGTGGCCCCTTTGCGGGGCCGTGTTCTCCAGGATCACTGTGTCCTTGTCGACGAACCCGAACTGGTGCATCTCGATCTTCTAATCGAAGTGGCCGTTGATGCCGGCGATGGCGGCGTCCTGCGCGCCGAGGGCGCGACGCCGCCGCCCCTTGTGCTGCCGCTTGGCCTCCTTCCCGCACTGGGGCAGCGCCTCCGCGCCCTCCCCGACGAGGCCATGCTCCGCGACGTTCCGGAGCGCTGTCGCCCCGCCGTCGGTCTCGATCGGCCCGTGACGGACAGCCGCCTCGACATTCGCTCGCAGGACGGGCTTGATGAGCTCGACCCGCGCCTGGAAATTGTGATCCACCTCCTTGTCCTCGACCTGCAGGTTGCCGCTGCCAGCCTGGGCCGCTCGCCAGAGGGCCACCGCTGTGGCCGCCACCACCTGGCGAGAGCCGCCAACGCGCACAACGGCACCGAGGATTGCCTCAGCCATCGCGTCGGCCATGACCGTAGCCCGCTCGAACCAGGGGCTGGGCGAGCAGGCTGCTTGAGCCAAAATGGCTGCGGACATGGGTCGCGGGTTGGGTCGCGGGTGGTCGCAAGTGGGTCGCGGGCGGGTCGCGGGTGGGTCGCGGATGGGTCGCGGGGTGGGTCGCGGGTGGGTCGTGGGGTGGGTCGCGGGTGGGTCGCGGGTCGGGGTGGGGCGCGGGGTGAGTCGCGGGTGGGTCGCGGGTTGGGTCGCGGATAGGTCGCTGCTGGGTCGCGGGAAGGGTCGCGGGGTGGGTCGCGGGTGGGTCGCGGGGTGGGTCGCCGGTGGGTCGCGGGATGGGTCGCGGGTGGGTCGCTGTTGGGTCGCGGGTGGGTCACGGGGTGGGTCGCGGCTGGGTCGCGGGGTTGGTTGCGGATGGGTCGCGGGGTGGGTCGCGGGTGGGTCGCTGGGTGGGTCGCGGGTGGGTCGCTGTTGGGTCGCGGGTCGGGTCGCGGAATGGGTCGCAGGTGGAACGACGACAACAAACAACAACGACGACAACAACAACAGCAGCAATAACAACAACAACAACAACAACAACAGCAACACCAACAACAACAACAGCAGCAGCATAAACAACAACACCAACAACAACACCAACAACAACACCACCAACAACACCAACAACAACACCACCAATAACAACGCCAACACCAACAACAACACAACAACAACACCAACAACAACACCAACAACACCACCAACAACAACAACACCACCAACAACAACAATACCAACACCACCAACACCAACACTAACAACGACAACAACAACACCACCACCAACAGCAGCAACAGCAACAACAACTACAACAGCAACATCAGCAGCAACAACAACAACACTCAGTATACTACTGTTCGCTCTTACTTGCCCGCGTGCCATTCAAAACGAGTTCCCCACTCCCTCGATCCCCGCCCTTCTTTTCTTCGATCACGCCCCCTTTGGGGGGATTCTTTCTCTTTGCGGGGGGCGGCGGGCTTAGACGGGCGGGCAAGCCTGAAGGGGCGGGCAATCCTTCGTGGGCGTAGATGCGCCCGCCATTGGAATTGGTTTGGGCCCTGCAAAAAGAGGAGGGGGAGAACGAGGGGGAGTGGGGGGAAGGGAGGGGGAGGGACAAAGGAAGAGGGAAACGCCAGGAGAGAAGGAGGCGATTGGGGGGGGGGCGGTGATTCAGAGGCAGAAGAAAGAGAGAGAGAGAGAGATGAGAGAGAGAGGAGGAGAGAGAGGAGAGATCGAGAGAGAGAGAGAGAGAGAGAGGCAGACAGAATAAGAGAGTAGAGAAAGAGAGAGAAGAGAGAGAGAGAGAGAGAGAAGAGGAGAGAGAGAGAGCGAGAGAGAGAGAGAGATAGGGAGAAAGAGAGAGAGAGAGAGAGAGGAGAGAGGACGAGAGAGAGAGAGAGAGAGAGAGATAAACAAGTGGCACGTGTGCCATGGCTCTTGCACAAAAAGGAAGGGGGAGGAGGAGGAGGTGGAGGAGGAGGGGGGGGGGGGGAGAGGATGCCAGACATCGCAGAAGGAGTGAACAAAACAGGGCCGCGAGAGGGGCTCCAGAGGGCGAGCGCGAGGACACTCCAAGGTCCGCCCCCCGCAAGATGGCTTCAAAGACCTTTGACGGGTTCCCAGGAAGCCTCCAACTGACGCCCGAGAAGCCTACAGAGGGTTCCAAGGGGAGGCCTCCAGGGTCCAAGGAGGGCTGGAAGAAATTACTGAGCGGACTCAGCTGCTGGGGGCTCGCGGTGCAAAGTGCGCGGCGGCCTTGTGTTGCGAACGCTTGTCCAAGGCAGTCGCTTTGCACGCAGAGTCTGTCGGGTGTATTCTCGGGGGCCGGCTATGCGCCACTTGAATGGGGGCCTCCCCCACAGACCAGACTTTCGGCCCGGGGCGGCGGCGGCGACGACGACGGCGACGACGGCGGCGGCGTCGGTGGCGACGGCGGCGACGGCATCGGCGGCGTCGCGGGAAGAGAGAGGGGGCGGGTAGGGAGGGCGAAAGGGGCAGGGCTGAGCGGGGGTGGTGAGAGGGCCGGCGACGGCGGCGACGGCGTCGGCGGCGGCGCGGGAAGGGGCGGAGCAGGGAGGGGCTGCGGTGCCGAAGTAAAGTGGGCGGGGCGGAGGGGGCGCTGGGCGAGCGCTGGAGCCGTGGGGGGCGCTGAGACGTGTGGGGGAGGGGGCGGAGGATGGGAGGGGGTTGTCGGGGCGGACGGGGCACTGGGCGGGCGCTCGAGCCGCGGGGGAGCGCTCAGACGGCGCGGGGGAGGCAGCGGAGCGGGGGGGGGGGGGGCGGTGCCGAATTAAAGTGGGTCGTGGCGGAGGGGGCGCGTGCTGGGCGGGCGCTGCAAACCGCGGGGGGAGGCGCTGAGACGGCGCGTGCGGAGGGGGCGGTCGGGGGAGGGGGTTGCGGTGAACGAAATAAAGTGGTCGGGGCGGAGGGGGCACTGGGCGGGCGCTGGAGCCGCGCGGGGGCGCTGAGACGGCGCGGGGGAAGGGGCGGAGCGGGGAGGGGGGGTGCGGTGCCGAAATAAAGTGGTCGGGGCGGAGGAGGCACTGGGCGGGCGCTGGAGCCGCGGGAGGGCGCTGAGACGGCGCGGGGGAGGGGGCGGCGCGGGGGAGGGGGTGCGGTGCCGAAATAAAGTGGTCGAGGCGGAGGGGGCGCTGGGCGGGCGCTGGAGCCGCGGGGGGGCGCGCTGAGGACGGCGGGGAAGAAAGGTGGCGGAGCGGGGGGGCGGGGGGTGTCGGTGCGAAATAAAGTGGTTTCGGGGCGGAGGGTCGCACGGGCGGGCGCTTAAGAGCGCGGGGGGGCGCTGAGACGGCCGCGGGGGAGGTGGGCGGCGCGAGAGGGGGGGGGTGCGGGTGCCGAAATGGATAAAGTGTTCGGAACGGAGGGGCGCTGGGCGGGGCTGGAGCCGCGGGGGGGCGTGAGACGGCGCGGGGGAGGGGGCGGAGCGGGGGGGTGGGGCTGTGCCGAAATAAAGTGGTCGAGGCGGAGGGGGCACTGGGCGGGCGCTGGAGCCGCGGGGGGGCGCTGAGACGGCGCGGGGGAGGGGGCGGAGCGGGGGGGGGGTGCGGTGCCGAAATAAAGTGGTCGGGGCGGAGGGGGCGCTGGGCGGGCGCTGGGGCCGCGGGGGAGCGCTGAGACGGCGCGGGGGAGGGGGCGGAGCGGGGGGGGGGGTGCGGTGCCGAAATAAAGTTGTCGGGGCGGAGGGGGCACTGGGCGGGCGCTGGAGCCGCGGGAGGGCGCTGAGACGGCGCGGGGGAGGGGGCGGAGCGGGGGGGGGTGCGGTGCGAAATAAAGTGTCGGGGCGGAGGGGCACTGCGGGGGCGCTGGAGGCGCGCGGGGGCGCGAGACGGCGCGGGGAGGGGGCGGAGCGGCGGAGTGGGGGTGGCCTGTGCCGGAAAAGAAGTGGTCGTGCGGAGGGGGCACTGGGAGGCGCTGGAGCCGCGCGGGGGCGCTGAGGCGGCGCGGGGGAGGGGGCGGAGCGGGGAGGGGGGGTGCGGTGCCGAAATAAGGTGGTCGGGGCGGAGGAGGCACTGGGCGGGCGCTGGAGCCGCGGGGGGGCGCTGAGACGGCGCGGGGGAGGGGGCGGAGCGGGGGGAAGGGTGCGGTGCCGAAATAAAGTGGTCGAGGCGGAGGGGGCGCTGGGCGGGCGCTGGAGCCGCGGGGGGGCGCTGAGACGGCGCGGGGGAGGGGGCGGAGCGGGTGGGGGGGCGGTGCCGAAATAAAGTGGTCGGGGCGGAGGGGGCACTGGGCGGGCGCTGGAGCCGCGGGAGGGCGCTGAGACGGAGGGGGCGCATGATGATGATGATGTGGATGATGATGATGATGATGATGATGATGATGATGATGATGATGATGATGATGATGATGATGATGGCGATTATGATGGGGGGGGGGGTGCGGTGCCGAAATAAAGTGGTCGGAGCTCTAGACACCCTGTGCAAGATAATAAAGAACGAGGTAGGGAGGAGGCAGGAGAGGGGAGGGAGAAGGGAGGAGGGAGAGGAGGGAGAGGGGATAGGGCAGAGAGGCGTAAGGATGAGGGAAGAGAGGAGGGAGAGAAAAGGGAGGAGAGGAGGGAGGAGGGAGGGAGAGGGAGGAGAAGCAGGAAGGTAAGAGCGTGAACGTTCGAGGAAATCCTAGGCGAAAGCGCCGTTCCTGAAGGA